GCATAACTTAAGTCATTTTGGGCACAATATTAAACTTTGGAGGATTGCTTTTTGAAGGATGTACACTATGTTTTTTTAATAGTTCTATTGCAAATGTATTCATCTTACTAAAAAAAAATCACTTTCGGGCATTATAATGTCTCGCTGCCAATTTGCTCTGTTTGGTATTCCTAATGAATTAGTAGTATTGCCTAGATTTAGCAATTTGTTAATGTCTTTATGCTATAATATCTTTACCTGAACAAATATTTAATTTACTTTAAGTACATTATTTTTCAAAAAATTAACATGAAGATAGTTGAAATTGGCCATTATATCTTAATCTTGCTGGGAGTGTATCCTTTTACGAGAACTAACCTAGCTTTAAAAGATATTTTGGGGTGGCATTGTTGTTTCGGGTTTTTAAACGATTGGGACAACTTTCGGAACTCTATGTCACTTGATCTCGGATTTATAGGATATTATCTCTAATGGTTAACTACGCGTGTTTTACGCGGCATTCAATCGTTTGTTCGATATAGAGCTAATCATTCTTCAGCTCGTAAGAAAAAAGAAAAAAAAATGTTAAAGAACATGTCATTATATTCATTACAGTTATATATATTCATACTCTGTTTTGGTATAAAGGTTATAGTAGGATGATATGATTTATAGTACATGTAGACTGTTTATAATTTGAGAGAACGTCGACATGCATCACTATTAGGGTGTAATAGTCCATTGACAACAACTGCTATAATTGGACGTAAAAAAACTAGGGAGATATATCAGTTATATTATACCACTAAGCATCTTGAGTAAAATAAATGCAAGGTATAAATATTTTGTAGTGAATTGATCAAATAGAATAGATCTCAGTTGTATCATTATGGAGTAGTGATTACACAGTTATAATTGGTATATACGAATACACTCAAATTAGTGGAGTAGTATTGAAATTACTAGTTGACCATATATAAATTAACCTACATTATAATTATTAAAATTTCAGAGACTGTTATCACAACTCGTATAACGTTTATTTTGTCATAAAACAGGCTAAAAAATAACGTATGGCTTGGGGCATTTAGTTCTATATGAAATCAAACTCAATTTTAAGCATGATTTACTTAAAAAAAATAGAATTATCGATAATTATAGATATGTAAATAACGTACTGGGGTTCTTAACTTAGGACAAGTCTTACAAGTTTATACATGAAATTAACATTTTAGGGTTTACTTATTTTAGTCATTGTTCATCAGCAAACAACCTTAGCCGGCCGAGGTGTTATTATTTACTTTCTGGCCAGAAAAGGTGTTAGTATTTACTTTTCGAGGGTCCCGGTCAGCGAAAATGTTTACTTAATGCAAACAGACTACTGAAATAAGGATTAAAATTTGTAAAAACATTTGTTGCAACTTATAGAATTATGACTTATATACCTAATACTCTTTTATTTTTTAGTCTACAAAATGCTGTTATTTACACTTTGAAATGAAATTGTATTCCCTTGCTTATATTTTTGAGCTATTTCATCCAATGAAATTAAGCTACAAACCGGTTTTTTCCTCTTTAGGGCAACCGTTTACGATATGATTTTTTAATTTTTTACTATAATCCAATATGCAAGAAAAACAAGTTTCAGTAAATCGATTTCGATTTTACAACTCCCCATTCTTGTAATGATTTGATTTATATACTGTCTTCACTAAATATGACGTCATTTTAGGCGAATTACATTTTAAATGTCAAAGTTTCTATTATTATCTAAGAGTCTTGGGGATCTGATATAAACTTCGAAAAGATTTTGGTAAACCTGAGAGAGGCATTTTGCAAATATCTCTTTTATGGGTGCAATCGTTTTACGCGGCATTTCTTAGCTACCTGGGGTTTAGAATTTACGACTTTACCGAAAGAGTTTGTGCGTTTATTGAAAGGTATATTTCCCTTGTAATTGTAGATCGATAATATATAGAGTGGAAAACTCACCTAACTTTGGATTATTTCTATCACCGATTTGTAGCATAAACCATATTTGTGTCTAAATCTATTAATTTTCCTCAGCAATCCATTGAAGGGTATAATTGAAAGCATTTAATTTATCATGGTGATTGTGATTGATGTTTGTATTTTGCAGTTTTAGCTACGTTTAAGGCGTTCGTAACCCGTATTAAGCATAATTTATGTGATTGGTTAACTTGAAATCCGCTCTGATTGGCTAACCAAGACATGACGTATACTGATTGGTTATATTTATAAAAGACATTCTAGGGGACGAAACACTTATTCATTATTTAATGAATCAACTTCATCATGAAACTTACTTTATACTTTCGGCACATACCGGATGTTGATAAATTAAAACTGGAGTGCTCTTGTTTTGTTAATGAATATTGTCATGTACATTGCTATCCAAACGTGTTTACATAATCCTGACACAGAAAAAAGCATGGCAAACGTTTTGAACTGACTAAAACTTTCAGTTACGATATTGGACTTTTGGGGCATACCAATAAACCAAGCAATAAGATCAAAGTGATATTTACCAAGACAAAAAAGGTAATTTTTGTAATAACTGCTTATCCAGTTGTCTAATGATTTGATTGATAAGACATGTTTGGACATGATTTTCTATAATAAGATCATGACGAAAGTGATCAAACAATCATGTAAAAGATTGCATCATACAACAGCCAATCAGATGCACGAGAAAGTGGACCAATCAGAAGAGACTTTGATCTATAAAAAGACGGTGTAACGATTACCAAGGTCATTAGAGTTCTGACACTCGAACAAGAAACATGGCAAGCTACAGATGCAAGTACAGTCTCGGTAATGAACGTTACGTGCAAGTGAATGAATGGAAAGGTGAGCTGAGAGTAGACTTAAGGGAATGGCAAGGAGATAAACCGACGAAGAAAGGCATCAGCTTAACGTTGATGAGATGGAAAAATGTTGTGGACGCAGTGGAATTTGTGGATCAATCTCTAGGAAATAAACAAGTGTACAATGCTCATCTTGGAGGAAACGTGTACATGTCGATTAAAGCTGGGTGTGTTTGCTTTGATATTCGAAAATACTGGAAGCCCAAGGACGATGTTTTGCCAACTAAGAAAGGATTGTGCCTTAGTCCAGCAGAGTACGTGAAATTGAAAGAAGTAATACCTGACATCGGTAAAAATCTACCAGAATTGGACTCTGTGGTGCCCTGTTACCTACAAAGCGATCATATGAATCAGATGGGAGTGTTACAGTGTTCAGAATGCAACCCAAACGATTTAATGAATTGGTAAAGGCACGTGATCGTGTTCTAAAAACAATGACAAACCGTTTCTAAAAATAACCACCAATCACTAACATTGAATACGTTTATTATGATAATTTACACACGATGTTCTCACTTCATCAGAAGACATCAAACGAATAGCATGAATCAGAGCGATTCTATCATGACCAACCGATTTAACAAGCCAGACATGATGTTTTATGAAGATCGACTACACACGTTTGAACATTGGTCCAAACAAATTAGACCCAGTAAAGAAGTATTGACTAAAGCCGGGTTTTACTTTACTGGCACTGCGGACAAAGTGACTTGTTTTGCTTGTGGTGTGAATCTGGTGTCATGGGAATCCACGGTCACTAGCGTTTCAGTTTTTGTCACTAGCGATTCAGTTTTTTGTCAGTAGCGTTTTAGTTTTTGACACTAGCGTTTCAGTTTTTGTCACTAGCGTTTCTATTTATGTTTTTGTTTTTTCAATTTGTGTCATTACTTTTTCTGTTATTTGACACGTGTGGTGTGATAAATGTATATTATTGAATATAATTATGTAAGAATATAATGTCTTTGTATCGCTGTTTCATCATGTATCGATAGAGCCGGTGCTTTATCGTTTTTATTAGGCGTTCCCCGTAGTTCGCTTTAGTTTCTGTGTTTTACGCATAGTAATGATGGATATTTTGTGTCTGGAAGTATTTCTGAACTATTTTACTTCTAAACTCCATACCCATATCCGTGCGTACTGTACTTGGCTGTCTAGCACCCAACATCATTTTATTTAGGGCATCTATAACATCTGTTCCCCGTTTGCTTTTTAGTGGCTGGACATGACCGTATCGGGAGAAAATGTCTACGGCTACTAACACGTATTTATAGTTGTCATTTTGTTTGGCAATATTAGTCATGTCCATCAAGTCCATGTCCCATAACAGTCAATGTCTTCAACAATGATCCTAAAACGCTTAAAATGGCGTTTAGCGCCCCTAGTAAGGGAATACGATTCTTGATCTTGTAGCCATTTTCGTATTCTGTGTCTACCGATGCTGTATTGGCCATCGGCTTTTACATACTGATAGAGTTTTTCTGGACCGGAGAAACTAGCAGGGTTTTTGGAATTAAAATACAAAGAAGACAAATACTGTTTCCAGTTTGACATTTTTATTTTCATATACACATATATAAATATATATATATTCTTACAAAAATATTACAACATGGTAGCATATAATGAAGATCTATTTTGTTCTATATACGTATCTAAAATATCTACTAGTCTATCTGCACCTTCTCTAGCTTCAACACGTAACTGTCTACATCTCAGCCACCATTCTAAATCCTTAATCATTGATAGCATCACACATATGAATGCACACATTATCATCAGCGACGTCCAAGAAACAAATTGGCTCCAGTAACGCTGTTGGAATTAAACCAGGGTTTATCTTGGACATCCGTTGGTAGTTTATCGTAACCAGTCATTTTCAAGTAGATGCAAGCTGGTGACCATTTTTCGTGTTCCCTCCAAGGTTCGTCCGTGGGTTCCCATGACGCCAGATTCACACCACAAGCAAAACAAATCACTTTGTCCGCAGTGCCAGTATAGTAAAACCCGGCTTTAGTCAATGCTTCTTTACTGGGTCTAATTTGTTTGGACCAATGTTCAAACGTGTGTAGTCGATCTTCATAAAACATCATGTCTGGCTTGTTAAATCGGTTAGTCATGATAGAATCGCTCTGGTCCATGCTATTCGTTTGGTGTCTTCTGATGAAGTGTGTGTGTAAATTTTCCTAATAAACGTATTCAATGTTAGTGATTGGTGGTTATTTTTAGAAACGGTTTGTCATTGGTTAATGTTTTTAGAACACGATCACGTGCCTTTACCAATTCATGAAATCGTTTGGGTTGCATTCTGAACACTGTAACGCTCCCATCTGATTCATATGATCGCTTTGTAGGTAACAGGGCACCACAGAGTCCAATTCTGGTAGATTTTTACCGATGTCAGGTATTACTTCTTTCAATTTCACGTACTCTGCTGGTCTAAGGCACAATCCTTTCTTAGTTGGCACAACATCGTCCTTGGGCTTCCAGTATTGTCGAATATCAACGCAAACACACCCAGCTTTAATCGACATGTACACGTTTCCTCCAAGATGAGCATTGTACACTTGTTTATTTCCTAGAGATTGATCCACAAATTCCACTGCGTCCACAACATTTTTCCATCTCATCAACGTTAAGCTGATGCCCTTCTTCGTCGGTTTATCTCCTTGCCATTCCCTTAAGTCTACTCTCAGCTCACCTTTCCATTCATTCACTTGCACGTAACGTTCATTACCGAGACTGTACTTGCATCTGTAGCTTGCCATGTTTCTTGTTCGAGTGTCAGAACTCTAATGACCTTGGTAATCGTTACACCGTCTTTTTATAGATCAAAGTCTCTTCTGATTGGTCCACTTTCTCTTGCATCTGATTGGCTGTTGTATGATGCAATCTTTTACATGATTGGTTGATCACTTTCGTCATGATCTTATTATAGAAAATCATGTCCAAACATGTCTTATCAATCAAATCATTAGACAACTGGATAAGCAGTTATTACAAAAATTACCTTTTTTGTCTTCGTAAATATCACTTTGATCTTATTGCTTGGTTTATTGGTATGCCCCAAATATCGTAACTGAAAGTTTTAGTCAGTTCAAAACGTTTGCCATGCTTTTTCTCTGTGTCAGGATTATGTAAACACGTTTGAATAGCACTGTACATGACATATTCATTAAAAAACACAGAGGCACTCCAGTTATATACATCCAAGTGTTTTTCGACGGTATGTGCCGAAAGTGTAAACGTAGGTTTCATGATGAAGTTGTTCATAAAATGAATAAGTGTTCGTCCCTAGAAGGTCTTTTATAAATATAAACCAATCAGTAACGTCATGTTTGGTTAGCCAATCAGAGCGGATTTCAAGTTAACCAATCACAAATTAAGCTTAATACGTGTTACGAACAGGCTTAAACGTAGCTAAAACTGCAAAATACGTCATTTCCAATCACCATGATAAATAAATGCGTTCAATATACCCTTTAATGGATTGCTGAGGAAAAATTAATATGATTAGACACAAAGATGATGAAAATCAGTAAAGAAATGACTAAGTTTTGGCGGTTCAAAGTTTTAATCACTACAAACAAGGGAAATAACTTTCAATAAAACGGACAAAACTCTTTCGGTAAAGTACTAAATTCTAAACCCCAGTATCTAAGAAATGGTAAAAGATGCACCCATAAAAGTATATATTTGCAAAATTGCGGTTACAAAATCTTTCGAATGTTATCAGTCCCAAGACTCTAGAATGATTTTAGAAAATTGATTTAAAAAATCGCAATTACGTCATAAGTGGAAAACAGATAAAAATCAAATCAACAAATGGGGGTGTAAATGAATGGTACTGAAATGTTCTTTCAATTGGTAGTAAAAAATTAAAAAATCATATCGTAAACGGTTGCCCTAAAGAGGAAAAAACCGGTTTGTAGCTTAATTTCATTGAATGAAATTGCTCAAAAATATAAGCAAGGGAATACAATTTCATTCAAAGTGTAAATAACAGCATTTTGTAGACTAAAAAATAAAAGAGTATTAGGTATAAGTCATAATTCTATAAGTTGCAACATTTTCTACAAATTTTAATCCTTATTTCAGTAGTCTGTTTGCATTAAGTAAACATTTCGCTGACCGGGACCCTCGAAAAGTAAATACTAACACCTTTTCTGGCCAGAAAGTAAATAATAACACCTCGGCCGGCTAAGGTTGTTTGCTGATGAACAATGACAAAAATAAGTAAACCCTAAAATGTTAATTTCATGTATAAACTTGTAAGAACTTGTCCAGTCTTGTTTGAGACCCTTAGTTAACAGTACGTTTAATTCATATTATTTACATTTTTTTTTCATTTTAACAATGAGTTTGGATTATATATGTGGTCAAGTTGCAGCATTCATGTTAAGCTGTATGACAAATATAATTTGTTTTACGATGAAGTTCGGTGATGTTTTAAATTTATTGGTAATGGATGGTACGGGATCATATCACTTTGGTGAGTTGTATATAGATATATTTATGTATGTATTCTTTGAATTAGTTCATTCTTTTTGAAATATACAAAATTTCGCTGTTTTTTTTTTTCAAGTTGTAAATATAAATTCATTTTTTTACACCTGTAGCAGTTGTTGTCATTATTGCACCGATTTGAGTATGTCCGTCTTGTCTGTAACATAATTTATTTATATCATATCTCCATAACCCTTTACCAAATGTGAATAAAACTTAATAAATAAATGACATGTCTTTAACATTTTTTTTCTTACAGGAGAATGTCGTGTGACAATACGAAATGGCAGTAAAACACGCGTAGTTAAGCCATTAGAGATAATGTCCTATAATCCGGCAGATCAAGTGACAATGAGAGTTCGATTTGGCAAATGCTTTGAAACCGAACACATGCACCGTTTCGTAAGGGGTAGAATGGCAATTTCAATAAAAAAGTAAGTAATGTATGTTTAATACGTAAGTTTATGTTTGAATGTGTTGTGGTATTAAATTTATGAATATTTTGCATTTTCTAAACTGAACAATTTAAAAAAAAGAGGTTTCTGTTTTCTATTTCTGTAACAGATTATGGCTATTCTAATGACCCTGTTGGAACATAACGTGTGGAGTACAAATGCATCAACATTGATTTGAAAAGAGGCAACGGTTTAGTAGATGGGATACAAGTGAAAGGTTACCAACAGGGGACAGACATTGTAATTTATGAGAATGAGCACGCATCTGAAAGTGATGTTATTGGAACGTTTTTACACGAATTGGCTCGTTTTCTTACTCCCACATATATAAAGATCATGGATATAAGTTTTTAACTACATGCAGTATGATAATGACCCTTGTAGAAAACCAAGTAATGAGAAACATGCAGTTTTGTGCGTCAAAATCTGGAAGTAATATAAAAGATGTAGGGGAAAAGCAAGAAGTAAAAGAATTACATAGTTTTTGAAAGAAACAAATTTAAACTGTTTTGGTTATATTTCTCCTTACTTCGTTTACTATTGAAAAGTTATCCATGTATCCATGATCTCAATATATGTTGGGGATAAAAAAATGTAAGCTTGAATCAATCAAAAAATAAATTGTAGATATTAAACAGCATTCATTAGAACTCATTAGAATTTTATTTATACTGATGTTTGTTTTAACCTTTTTTTCATTGGCAATAGTTTAGTATTTTTATTCATTAAATTTACATACATCACATGTACCATTGTTTGTCTTGATTAAACACGATCTTTGTCATTTAAAGAAATCATTGTGCATAATTTCAACGGTTCATGAAATACTGTGGTTACACGAACAGGAATAACTTTACAGTTGAATAGGATATTGTTAACTCTTCCGAACTTAAATCAACACCCGCCAAACTGAACGGCTGCTTTAAAGAGATTCATTTTAACAGTTAAATGGACCTTTGTTAACTCTTTCGAACTTAAATCAACACATGCCAAATAATGTAAACAAGCTAGCCTTGGCACATGAATAGACCATTATTAAAGTATTCTTCCCTAAATAAACAAGACGCAAACATCGCGGCTACTTTTAAGGGATTAATTTTGACAGTTGAATGGACCATTGTCCGCACATCTGCTCTAAAATAAACAGGACGCCAAACCTCGTGGTAACTTCAATGGGATTAATTTTGACAGTTGAATGGGCCTTTGTCCGCACATCTGCTCTTAAATCAACACACGCCAAATAATGTAAACAAGCTAGCCTTGGCACTTGAATAGACCATTGTTAATGTATCCGTCCCTAAATAAACACACGCCAGACAGTGCGGCGACTTTAAAAGAATCAAATTTGACATGTTTACTTTGAATTGTCCGCCCAGTCGGCCTTAAATAAATAGACGCGCGACATGTTTGAGCTTGTTTCATTGCATTGGTGACGTCATCAGATCCAAACATGCGCATTAAAGGATAGTATTTTTATTATTGGAGTCATTTCGTTGCTGGAGCTTAAGGAGTAAAGAGGTAATATTTTTATTAAATGTTTATAAAGAAATACTTAAAATAAATATGTTAATAACCTTATTTGAAAATGTATAAAATAAATTATGTATTAAGGGTGATATTTAAAATATGAAAAAATACATTTAAAATGTTAGTTTTTTGAGTTAAATTAAACGTGTATTATAGAGAACATTGATTAAAAGTAATAATTAAATCAGTTGTCAAGTACACTGTACGCAGTGTGGGAAATATAAAAACAAAGTGAATCATTATTTTTGCCATTCAATTTTAAAATGCTTGGATACTAATTTTATCTCCCTGTCTTGGGCCGAGGACCTGACCCTCAATGTCCGCGATTCACGCCCTAAATCGGGTATACAAGTCAGCTCCGTATACTTCCGGGAGATTAAAAATAAAACGATGATGTCATTCTAAAAATAGACAGATAATGTCATTCTAAAAATAGAACGATAATGTCATTCTAAAAATAGAATCCAATATGGCGCCGCGCATGCGCAGTCGTGGGGGTAAAGAGGCGCCTATACTACTTATATGAATATATGAACGTGAATATAAAGATATTTTGAAAAAAATATCTTAAGACAACAATGTGCTTTCAAAATTTGTATCTATTTAGGTCCGAGTGGGAGCATCTCTGAAGTTGAGTCCGAGTGGGAGCATTTTCCATTTTTATTAAAAGAATTAAGAAAAACTGACTTTTGAATAGAAACATTTGAAACTAATATAGAATAATGGGTATACATGACTCTGTTTATGTTCCGGTACGTTAAAAATAATTTTAAAGAAGGTTTTCAACCTTATTTCATATATGTTTCGGGAGAAATCCGAGTGGGAGCATTCAGAGAAAAACACTTATCCCGTTTTCAGCAATAAACCAGACAATAAATCTATAAATGTTTTTTACAATTATCTCAAGTACTATAGCCATTCTTTGGTGCGCTACATGATTTTTAATACTCTTACGTTTTCTTATAATAAAATTGTATTTTACCTTCGAGTCGACGAAAAAATGGTCCAAGTTGGAGCATTTAGCAGGTGCGCGATGACGTAGTATCCTACCATTGACATTGTGGACTAGAAAAGCCCTGATAAAATGTTTGCTCGACAAATGACAATCAAATGGTAAATTCTTTGCCAATCCCCCGGTTTAACAATTTTCTACAATGTAAGGGACTTCTGAATCATTAAAACACGACGCATTTCTCTTGCTCTCTTCTCCGGAAAGGGTTGGATGGGTAGGTTTACATTGTTTTGTTTTTTTGTGTGGGTTATATGGCCAGGAATGATAATTTTGGTATTCCTCGGATAGCAACATCAAGGGTCCAAAACCATCTCACCCGTCAGAGCTTAAAACTGCATATAGACCCCATTTAATTGCCTCTATACGGTCATGCAGGGATAAGTTATGAGCCTCAGCCATTAAAGGCTCCCCTCGGCCACAAGGTTTACAAATGAACGATGGGCAAATAACAAATGATGATTACTAAACAAGGTTAAGGTGACAACGGAGTCAATTATCACTGAAAATACCTAAAATGAGATTTTTTGCTTAGTAGATTTATCAACCTTTTCTGAACACATTCGTGATTTAATTTTGGAAGCAGTTAGTCCAAAAATGTGTTTTTAAACGTATTAAAACGGTACCTGTACCATTTTTATCTGTTATTCGCGTAACCTGTCAATTACCGATAACGCTCCGCCCCCTGTTGAGGCATCAATGAGGGAAATCGGTAGTTCCATATATGCGTGAATTACCGGTCCATACTCGAAATTCATGTATCGTGCAAATTTTATACCGTACATATTTTATGAATATCGACTACCTTTTATTTAGCCTTTTTTATAAAATAAGAAATTGTCGGCCAATAAACGTAACATAATATATGAAACTTAAATAATTAAGCATAGCGGCAAATCGCACGACCACGGGGTTGATTAAAAATATAGTTGCTAAAATATCCATAATGTGTGAAAATAATTTGTCTGTCCCGTTAATCTGATAGATATAATATTGTGTTTATGGACTTTTGTACGGATTCAAGGGCTTGCTTTACATTCAACCTCGTTTTCTAACAATGTCAAATAAAACAACAACAAAAACAGACAAAAATTTTTTTATGTGAACGCCTATATGACTTATGGTTAGGTGTCTCTGACAAATTTCTAAACCATTTTAGGTTGTCAAAGTATGATTATTTCTCTATGAATCAATAAAAAATGATAATAAAATATATTATCAGTGAATGCTTTTAATAAATTGTTCGCCAGTAAATCGAACACAGTACTAATGTATGGAATTTATTGTATATATCCCAGTAGAAACTGGATCTCTATGTCGTGCATAGATGATATTCATGTTAATAG